ACTTATTTTAGAACTAGCAAAGATAGACAAGATATTTTAATTTCTAATAATCAGAGCATATGGTCAGAGCAAAAGAATAGAATAGAAACTGATATTAGAACAAAAGATCTTAAAACCAACCTGTAGAGCAGATCCAGACGTTAGAATAAGAATCTAAGTTTTAAAACACTCAGTTCATCATATAAAATATATAGCTCTCCAAAATAGACCATATAGAAAACAATAAACACCAACACAAATTAGAAAACAAATATAGAAAACAATAAACACACAGATATAAGTACTTTGGTCACCAAGTACGTACCAAAATATCCAAAATACCACCAAAATACCTGCGCTTATGGCTTACGGAGCCTAGTGGTTCGCCACAACAATGACAGATTCAAAACCAACAACCACCGCTAGCCAAGACTTACACTAAATACTAGAGCTTACGCAAGGAGGCAGTTTTATATTAATTTAAAACCGATGCACAACCCGCTGCTCACGGCTCATGAAGCCTAGTGGTTCGCCACAATAATAACAGATTGTATTCTTTAGTTCTTGGATTATTTCAAAGCTTTTTCAATTTTTTATTTGATCAAATCATTATTTAATTGAAATGAACGCATAAAAATTCTAAAAAATAATCAAATTTATTTTGAAAATTTGAAGCACCATTAATATTAACTTTTATCAAAATATTAAATTCTCAGCACATTAATTAATTCAAAATTAATCCAGTAATTAATACGTACACTGTCTTACATCTTAAGATGTAAGGATGGAAGTGGTACTGGTATTTTAGGGTACTCGCTCTGCTCCGATCCATTTAAAGAGGATATGGATAGTTATAAAAGGGTTTGTAATGGATATGAATAATGAAATTACTACCCATAACGGGTATGGATAGTGAAATTACTATCCATAATGGATACAGATAGGGTACGTGTATAGATATTTGGATACCCGCTATCCATTAACCGCTATATTAAATAGGTTCGATAATAGTACCTGCAGGTACCTTATCCATGGGTATCCTATCCATTATTAGTAAAAAACATATTTTAAATAAATATGAATTTGAATAGTTTAAGATTCACGAGCATTCTACCCGTAGACAAGGTACTTTAGATGAGTTTTGGACAGATACGAATATTAAAATTTAAACAGGTTCGAATTTAAGTACTTAAATGAGTATTTAAATGAGTTTAGAATGAATACGAGTAGTAAGATTTTAAATGGATAAATTTCAAATTCGCGAGTACCCGCTCCACTTCCATCCTTATTAAGGGATGTATTGAATTAAAATTATGTTAGATTTTAAAAGATTTTTGAAATCTTTGGATTGGAGGATGGATTTGTGAATGTCTCTTTTATTCATACATAGCACCTTAAAATGAAATCAATAATTTTATAAAATCCTTCAAATGAAAATCAATAATTTTATAAAATCCTTCCAAATTAATAATTTTTTTTTAAATACCGATTCAAATTTGTAGCTTTGGATTGGAGGATGGATTTGTGAATGTCTCTTTTATTCATACATAGCACCTTAAAATGAAATCAATAATTTTATAAAATCCTTCCAAATTAATAATTTTTTAAATACCATCAAATTTGTAGACTTTTAAAAAGTCATAATTCAATATTATCAGATTTTTATATATTCATAAGAGTCTGAATTGAATACCAACAGATTTGAATAGACTTCAAAAAAAATCTAGATTGAATACTATTTTAAAATCTTTTAAAATCTAATAGAATCATAATCCAATACATCCTCCTTTTTTTTTTTCGTTTAACCATCTGGTATCTGAAGCCCATTTGCCCGACCAATTAGGATCCGCACCGGACAGGCCTATAAAGGAGGCAAAGTGCTTCCTTTCAAGATCTCTAATTAAAGAAGAAGGAATCTCTGATTAAAGAAGAAGGAATCTCTAATTAAAGAAGAAGGGATCTTTGTCATCTCATCTCACCCCTCGGGAGTTATCTAGCTCTTATTTTATTTGCACTATATTAACCTTCTGAAAAAAAAAACTATTAATAAATGTTTCAAATTAATATATTTATAGTGTTTTATTTATCGTTATTTTAGAATAACAATTTTTATTAAATATTATTTAAAATTTTTAATTAATTCTTTATTAATATTATTTAAAAATTGTAATTAATTCTTTTATTTTACATTAGAATAAAAAATAATATATTAATTTACGTCTTGTAATGTATAAAGAACAATGAGATTATTCATTGTCAATTAACATTTTAAGCTCTCAAAATTTTAATAAACAGTAATATTTTTTAACTAACTGCTATCAATCGCAATCATTATCTATCAGTAATTATTATCGACTATCCACTGGTATGAATAATTAAATCAAACGGATCCACAATTTTGGAAACGGATTTACAATATAGAGCTATGGGTTTGATTTGACTACAAAACTAACTATGAAATTGCTATAGATTAATGGCGGAAAAAAGTTACGGTTCAGTCATGTGCCACTGCTAATTTAACAGCGGACCATAAATCCATACCTATATTATTAGCTACAAGCATTTAAAGGATAAGAATTTTTCGTATCTATTCTGTAGCTATATACAGTTAGCTAGGAATTTATTAAAATTAGCTACCGAGTTTTACGTAACTATTTTTTGAATATTTTATAATGACATATGAAAAGATTTTACTTAAATATCATTCTCAGTGTAAAACTATGTTCGACAATAGCTTTTTTGAGTAACTTTTAGCATTTTGACCACTCAAACAGTTAAATGTTATTTTTTATAGTGTTTGGTACATAGTGTGTGAACTAGCTTTTAGAGGTTAAAATAGCGTTTTATGAAAAATTAATCTATGTAATGGTTAGCTTTTAGCGTTCCATGAAACGTTATTAAAACAAATAACACCTACCGGAATAACTAATTTTGCTGAACATATTCTAAATGTACATTATTCCATTTGAAAGATAAGACGGTAAAAAGACCACATAGTACAACAAAAACATACATAAAAGCTATATTCGGCAACATCTTTTAAACTAGTTTTTAGCGTTTTAATCGGGTCAAAATTCTACTTTTGTTAATTGTATAGTTCAATAACATAGTATTTATAATAGCTTTCAAACGTTGATGAAGCTTTTCATCAAACGTTAAACACCCTGATGTATGTTTAATGTTTCATAAAATTAATTAAATTTTTTGATAACAGTATCTACTATTTTTCACCTAATTCAACTAATTAAATTGTTAATGCACCTTTTTATTATTTTAAATAACTACTATTTATCGAACACTTTTACTTTAAACCATTGTATAAACAACTATTAGCTAAAAGTTTAATAATTAATAGCCAATGGAACAGAGGCTACTACAACAACTAACAACTATTAAAACAATTAACGACCAGTATAATAACAGCTAACAACTATTAAAATAACTAGCATTACCGAACATACCCAAATTCTTCTACGATTTAAAAGTGCAATTATATTTAATAAATTAACTATATTCTTTAGTTCAAGATTTTAAATTTGTAAATTTCTATTATTGCGTTCTGGTGATCAATATTTTAAGTTATATTTTGATCTAACATTTTCGGTTTTAACAACTCTAATTATTTCAAAAAATATAAAATTGTAGTCACAACCCCTTAGAATATTATATTATTCAATTCTTTGAAAGTCTTAAAATTTTAGAATTTTCACTAATAGTAGCAAAATTACTAAAATTTAGCAAGTTTGAAACACCAGAAGCAATGTGTACATTGTGAAAAAGCCCTACTGGTTTTCAATAATTTACTCTTTTAATTTGTCTAAATTTAACAAGTTTACCCTTCAATTCATTGAAGCAATAAATTAAATATTTAATTCGTGCGTCAACCCTCTAAAGAACTTTTGTTCTTCTCTATCTGCGTTTCCCAATTGTAAATTCAGCCATGATCATCTCTTTCAAAAACAAATTCTGCCATGATCAGCTTCTTTCCCAAATTTTTTTAGCGTAAACCACGATGGACCCTATTATTAGAGACCATTGATCTGGCTAACTTGAGACTTAAAATCCTATTATTAGATACCATTAATCTGGCTAACTTGAGCTTAGACCATTTAATCCGGCTAACTTGAGACTTATAGACCCTAAAATCCTATTATTAGATACCGTTAATCTGGCTCAAGTGGCTAACTTGAGATTAGACCATTTAATCTGACTGACTTGAGGTTCACTCATAATAAAGTTCTTTGTCCCTCCCTGCAAGTGTGTTTATTAAACCAATAAAGTGTATTGACCATTTAATCTGACTGACTCGAGGTTCACTCATAATAAAATTCTTTATCCCTCCCTGCAAGTGTGTTTAGTTGGATTTTTGTTTAGTTGGATTTTTGTTTAATTAGATTTATGCAAGCGTATTTAGTTGGATTCTTGTTTAGTTGGATTCGTACTTAGTGAATTAAATCCAATCCCTCCCTGTGTTTAGTTGGATTCGTATTTAGTGAACTTTCGTACTTAGTAAATTAAATCCAATCCCTCCCTGTGTTTAGTTGGTACTTAGTAAATTAAATCCAATCCCTCCCTGTGTTTAGTTGGATTCGTATTTAGTGAACTAAATCCAAAAGCTCTGTGTTCAATTGGATTCGTATTTAATGAACTAAATCCGAAAATTCTTTCCACGTGTCCTAATTCTGCAATTCAATTGGATTCGTATTTAATGAACTAAATCCGAAAATTCTTTCCACGTGTCCTGCTTCTATTGCAGGCTGCTCTGCTTCTATTGCAGGCTGCTCTGCTTCTATTGCAGGCTGCTCTCGTAGATAGCTTTTTCAGGGTGCTCTCATAGGTAGCTTTTTTTTCCAAATTTAACTGATAGACTAAATTCCAGTATTATAATTGGATTGTTCGAAAATTATACAATAAACTAAAAATTGATAACTTCATCGTCTCATCATAAAACATTATCAACCCCGAGATTATTGGATTATTGGAACAATTTTGAATGTACTTCAATATTTTTTTAGTGATTATTACAGTATAATTACAGTATTTATATTATTATTTATTATTTTAAAAAAGAAAAACATTTGATTCATATGACAATCTATAGCACAAAACTTTTGACAATTCAAAAACCTACTCTCCTTAACTCCTCTATTCCTCTCTCCATGTAATTTCTATATTCAACAGTATCAACTGGTACATCTATTTCATTATCGGCTACTGATTCCTTAATCTTTTGATTAATCTCTTTACTTACATTCCAAGCACCATCCATGGTCTTTTTAGCTGTATCTCCAACAGTATCTGCAATTTCTGTAGCTTTTCGAACACCTTCTTTGGCCGAGTCAGCTACAAACTGAGTTGCTCCAGCGGTTGCGCTCTCATCCATGTCTAATGATTGTTGCTTTGCCTCGTACATGCCTTTGAGTACCTGCTGGATCGTTACTTGATATTTCTGGTCTCACATCTGGTCCTGTTCCTTCTCCTCTTGTCTCAGCACGTTCAAAGGCAGTGGAAAAGCAGACATAAGGAGGCTTTTGTTTTAGTAGTGATGCTTTAGAGATGTTAATGGTGGTTCTCTTTGACAAAAATATTGCTGCCATTTCCTTTTTCTTCTTCCTTTCTTTCTTTGTTTATTTAATTTCCTTTGTTGCAGAATCCTCCCTTCTCTTTCGCCATTGCAAACCTGCACGTAAATTAAAATTATATAGTGCGGATGGGTACAATCGGTGTGACTCTGTAGATGGATGACAACGTGGGGAAGGAGCAGTTGACACCTTTTGACTATGGGATTTGACACGTATCACTTTATGTACAAACATTTGACACGTTGCTTCCACGTTTCGATGTTTCTAATGTTCCCTTCTGTTGCTCATCAACTGAGGTTTTTAGGGGCTAGGGCAGGGTCGGGTGGTTCCAGGAACGGCTGGTTTTGATTCAAGAAACTGTTTTTCGAGTCTAATTGGTTTCGAGTAGAATCAGTCCAGACCGAAAAAAATTTATCTAGATTTGGTCTATAAGTCCACCAATAGACAAAATTAATAAAAATAAAGAATTTTAAAAAGTATTTTCACTTTATCAATATTTAAAAATACTCCCTTTTTAAACAAAAAATTTTATTGATTGATTATTAGTGCAGCTATAGACGAGTCTAGATAAGTTATTCTCATCCAGACTTATTAATTTCAGCTTTTCAACTTCGGTTCTGTCATTTTTCTTTTTTTTTTTTAATTAATTAAATAGGAAATGCACAAAAAACGCACAGGTTAACATCCCATTGTTTTTTTTTTTTTTTTTAAGCATACAAACTTCGTTCTGTCATTTTTTCTTTTTTTTTTTTTAAATTAATTAAATAGGAAATGCAACAAAAAGCACAGGTTAACATCCCTTTTTTTTTTTTTTTTTTTTAAGCATAAATAGCCAAAATCATTGTGGAAATAGGCTGATTCCGACCGGTTCTTGCTACTTCCGACCGATTTTGGTGCTAAAAATGGGAAACGATAAATTGTTATGTGAATTTGAGGTCCATTAATACTACTCTGGGCCCTAACTGGATACTTGACAATAATCATAGGCTCTTGCCCAGCCCAATAAACCCATACTGATAAATTACTGAAAAGTTCAATATGATCAACAATTTAATAACATTAATAAGACATTCACATCTTAAATTATTATTAGTAAATGAAACACATAAATAAATCCTTTTGTTGTTAGTGGAGACACTCACATCTTCACTAATTACATAGCTTCTTGTCTTATACCTGACAAGTTGAATTGAGAGAGGTAATTGCGGATCTTCAAGATCGAGAAAGAAAAGGATGTATACCAACCTTCAATCATTTATGATTTTCAATTGAATATTTGTTCTTATTACTTCAAAATTATTAATTTCTGATTTTTGTGATTCGTTAATAATTTTATTAACTAGAAATATATACAACTGATTTAAATCGAATTCTACTAAATTTAAGCTCAGGTCGTTAAAAAAGAGTTGAGCTCAAACTCACTTAAACTCATTCTGTAATAAAAAATGTAAAAATATGATAGCTCGTTTACAGACTCGATGATCTATTAAATTCAAATGTATTTATAAACTCAAGTTCGAGCTCGTTTACATTTTGAGTGTTTAGCCTCCTTTGTTGAAAACAAAAATTAAAAAAAAAAAAGTTTTGCTCAATCCCACTTCAGGGAGATTGAGATTTGAGTGTGGTTGGATTGGCTATAAAAGGAAGCCAAGGTTTAGGTTTTTAAACACACCAAAAACACTTGAATGTGTTTTATATAGAAGACCAAAACATTGAATGTGTTTTATATTAGGGATTTGCAAGTCTTTTGGAATCCCTTGGAGTATAAAATATTTGGGGTGTTTTGAGGGTGTCAGGTAGAAAAATATTTTGTAATTGTGGTTGTAACAATTTGTCACATAGTGAATATTTTTCTTGGTTGTCGTTTGGCAACGGCTGTGGTTTTTTTCTCCACTTGGGGAGTTTTCCACGTTAAATTATCGTGTTATTTATTCTCTTTAATTTCTCAAGTCATTATTTTATTTTCTCATTTGTTCCTGCTTGAAGCCGGTCCGAAGGGCGGGAAAATAGCAATTTTCCCAACAAGTGGTATCAGAGCGAAGCCGGTCCGAAGGGCTGGAAAATAGCAATTTTCCCAACAAGTGGTATCAGAGCCTAGTTGTTAGGCGGAGCTTTTAGTGTTAAGATAATTTCTTGTAATTTAAATTATAAATATGCAATGTGGTTGCGGCTTAGTCTGATCCTCCACATCAGAAATACTGTTGTTAGAAATTATTTTATTTTAAAAGCAAGTGGAGTTTTGGAAGTCTTGAAGCGGGTGGAGCTTTGCTGGTACGAAAGTTCTGATAATATACCGTGCACGTAACTTCTGTCTAGAAAGCCGGATTTTAAGTGGGACCACTTGTGACCCCTCTGCCCAACTGGGATTTTACGTGGAATGGTAATACTGTCTAGGAGATCATTGTGGTCTATCCTCTGTATTGCCGAATCGGTTTACTTCACTAATTATTGGGTCACTGTTATAAGCACAAGTAAGCATGTCGGCTATGAGATGTGAGATTGAGAAATGAGAAATTTGACGGAGAATGAATTTTGCATTATGGCAAGTGCAAGTCAAAGACGTGTTGATTCAGTCTGGATTGCATAAGGTTTTGCAGGGTAAACCAGTCGGCGGAAAGAATTCAGGAAAAGACAGTGGCAATAGAAACTCAGAAAAATCCAAGATTAGCGATGAAGAATGGGAGGAGCTGGATATCAAAGCGGCAAGTCAAATTCGCATGTGTCTAGCAAAAAATGTTAAGCAAAAAATGTTCTGTTCTTGCTAATGTGCTTGGATTGTCCACGACAAAGGAGTTGTGGGAGAAACTGGAAGAATTGTACCAGGGAAAAAATATATCCAACAGGTGATATTTAAAGGAGCAAATTCATACGTTGAAAATGGCAGAAGGTACAAAGCTATCAGATCACCTGAGTGTTCTTAACGGCATCGTCTCTGAATTGGAAACTCTTGGAGTGCAAACCGAAGATGAAGATAAAGTTCTCCGACTCATCCTGTCACTTCCTTCGACAACATATGAGCACATGAAACCTGTTCTGAAATATGGTAGTAAGGAAGTGGTGTATGCGGATGTGGTTAGTAAGCTCATTACTGAGGAGAGAAGACTGAATAAAATGAAAAATAAATCATATGAGGATTCATCTTTATCTGTCGGTACCAGGAAAAAGAATAAAAGCTCCGGAAAGAGGAAGGTTGTCTGCTAGGGTTGTGGTCAAACTGGACACGTGAGGAAGGATTGCCCGAACGGTGGAGCTGATTCGGCTAGAAGCTCTAATGTTGTTGCTGCCAATGTGATCTCCTGTGGCGAAGGAGATGATGTGTTCTCTCTGTAATTGAGAGATGTGTGCCCTCATGGCATGATTGCTACCCGTTAAGATGCCATGGAAGAGGATGGATTATTGGTAGCTGGTCCACGGAAATGCGCACGGCATTGGTTGACAGTTGATGCAAAGTGTGGTGGAAAAAATATGCCGATGGCTAATGAACTCTCAAAAAAGTCAATAGGAGGGTTGCACCATAAAACCATAAACTATTAGCGGGATCCGACATGGCCGATGGAAAATTCTTGGAGTCAGTAAAGTGGTTCCAAGTGGCGATACTCTTTTATGGTGGAGTGTGATAATTCTTGACGATAAGAATTATCATTGTCGGTAGTAGACAATGCTGTGTCTTTGTTTTATTTTCAAGGTGGAGATTATTAGCCTCCTTTGTTAAAAAAAAAATTATTGTTGAAAACAAATTAAAAAAATATATAATTTAGTTTTGCTCAATCCCACATCGGGGAGAAGAGCATGTGAGGGTGGTGAATTGGCTATAAAAAGAATCCAAGGTTTAGGTTTCTAAACACACTAAAAACACTTGAATGTGTTTTATATTAGGGATTTAGAGCAAGTTTTTTGGAATCCCTTGAAGTATAAAATATTTGGGGTGTTTTGAGGGTGTCGGGTAGAAAATATTTTGTAATTGTGGTTGTAACAATCTGCCGTATAGTGAATATTTTTCTTGGTTATCGTTTGGCAACGGCCGTGGTTTTTTTCCACTTGGAGAGTTTTTCACGTTAAATTATCATGTTATTTATTCTCTTTAATTTCTCAGTCATTAATTTATTCTCTTTAATTTCTCAGTCATTATTTTATTTTCTCATTTGTTCCTGCTTGAAGCCGGTCCGAAGGGCGGAAAAATAGCGATTTTCCCAACATTGAGCTAGCTCATGAACTAAAACGGAAGTATCAATATCGAACTAGTTCACAAGCCAACTAATGAACTTCATTCTAAAACTTAAAATTCATCTCGTTAATCTTCCAAAATGAACTCAAATGTATGTATTTTTTGTTGGTGGTGGTGTGCCCACTCATTGGTGGTGGTGTGCCCACTCAAGTGGGACCCACACATTTTTTGGTGGTGTTAGGTGACTCACAAAACCTTTATTGGTGGTGGCGGTGCCTACCTACACACGTGATGAAAGAAAAGAAACAAAAAAGAAAAGAAAGTTTGACGAAACAGAGAGCCGTGCATGAGTAATGCACGGCTCTCTCCAATCCTCTCCTATAAATAGAGGATATGAGCCAAGACTTAAAAACACACAACTCGCAGAATAGAAAATAGAGAGTTATAATTTTAGGAAGGTTTCCTAAAATTAGGGGAGAGAAAAATAGTGAGGAAATTATTTTTGGGGTGTTTATTTCGGTGGTGTTTTTGGGGAAAACCTTTGTGATGGCCACTATTTTTGTATTACTCTCTTGTTGTAAGGCCTACTATTTTAATAGTCTGGAAAAATTATTCGGAGTTGTCCTTTTGGGGTGTTTTTGGGAAACACTTTGTGAGTGCCACTATTTTTGTATTACTCTCTTGTAAGCCTACTATTTTTAATAGTGGAAAAATTATTCGGAGTTGGTCCCGTGGACGTAACCCTAAACAGTTGAGGGTGAACCACGTAAATTTCTGTGTCCCAATTTTAATTTTTCCGCTGCTTAATTATTCTCGTAATTTTATTACCGGTATCCTAACATTTTTTTGGAGCTGAGTCTCGAGCAATTCACGAGGAGCAGCATGACTTATTTATAATCCATCAACATCAACAAATATATTACAAAATTTCTTGAGAGTTACAACCTGCGACCAACAATCACCAGTAACTTTATTATTTTTATTATTATTGTTGTTTAGGAGCATAAATTACAATTCAACTATAAGGAATCTCATTCTTTTTTTATGCTAAAAGCTACTTTTGAGTTTTAAACACAAATCAATGACCTGTTTAATACACAAGTCAACTATATTAACAGGATATTTGAAGATTTCACATCAATCAAACAATATTATTACTTCGCTTTTGTTTGGTTTCTCCAGCTTATATGAACAAAGTCAAAAAGAAGTTAACCTAAAAGGCAATCCTGTCTGGCTATTGTCTTAATATTCTATCAACTGACATTCATCACATAACAAACCCAAACCAAACAAAGAAAAAGGAAAAGAACATGCAAAGCATCTTTAACACATTCTATAAATTATTTTCAGATAAGTATACCTTTTTAGGTTCTCTTTGAACCAATCATGTATGCTTTTAGCAAAGAAAATCAAACAAACCCAATGCAAAAAAGAAGAATATATATATATTGCGTGTTTCAGAAAATGTGCTGTAATATTTGCAGACCATTTTCTCATAAAGTTCCATAACTTCTAAAGATAATATCTTTAACCTTCTTCACTACATCAAACCATTTGTCAGGAAGGAAGAACACTTAACAAGCTAGGAAAGAACAGATACATTCACTTGCTATGAAAAAGACATCAGAAGGCTTTGAATTTCACATGGTAATATTCAGAGTAAGAAAAAGAAAGAAAATTTATACAAAAATGAAGATAATCTTATAATGCTTATTTCTAATATAAAATGGCCGAAAGAGCCAATTTTATACACAGCTCATTTGTTAATTTACATTAAACAATACTAAGGATTGTTTCTATAGAGGCGGAGAAAGGAAAAAACAGTCATTTGGTCAAGGACTTGTTCCAGCTTCCAACCTTGAAGATAGCTTGAAAAAGTATTATTTGCTTTACAGGTATACCTTCTCTCAAACTGAAACTAATGAGCATGAAACAAAATGCAGCAATCAAATTCATTGTCAAGCACTTTAAATTCCAATACCCTCTAGCCATGAAACAACCTGATCAATAACAGGTCTTCGCCGAGGATCTTGGTCTAAGCATCTACAGGCAATTTCGAGCATTTCTAACTGCTGCTTCTCAAGATCTTTATCCCGGATTGATGAGTCTACAATCTCTGCCTCTCTTTTTTCGGACTTCATTTGAAACACCCAGGAGATTAAATCCCTGCAGTTTTTGCCTTTACAGACTTCCACAGGCCTTCTACCAGTAACAAGCTCAAGAAGAACAACCCCAAAACTGTAAACATCACCCCTGCAGGTTGCTGTCAATGTTTGACTATATTCAGGAGGAATATAACCTAAGGTGCCTACCAAATCTGTTGTAACATGAGTATCATAAGGTCGAAGTAGCCTTGAGAGACCAAAATCAGCCAGATGAGCTTCAAATTTTTCATCTAATAATATGTTGCTAGATTTGACGTCCCGATGAACTATGTGTGGTTCACAAACTTTGTGTAGATAAGATAACCCAGAGGCTGCGCCTTGTGCTATCTTGAGTCTCACCTCCCACTTAAGAAATGAAGTACCATCAACACATTCATGTAGCCAATAATCCAAGCTTCCATTTTCCATGTACGAGTAAATCAATAATCTGTCATTACCATGACGACAATAACCTTGAAGAGAAACAAGGTTCTTATGCTGCGCCCTTGAGAGTGCTTCCACTTCAGCTCGAAATTCACGTTCCATTTGACCACAGTCCCCAGAAAGCCTCTTGATAGCTGCTTTGGTTCCATTAGGAAGGTTGGCTTTGTAAACCAAACCAAATCCACCACAGCCAATAATGTTAGCTTGATTGAAATTATTTGTAGACTTCAACAAGTCTGCAACAGTAAGATCCCTGCATTCTGAATTCTGAAAAAGCACCAACTTGGAAGACCCTAGGGCTTCAGATAATCTATGTGGTCGGCTGAGTTCCTCATCCATATCATCAATTTGAGCTCCGATATCCCTTCTTGACATTCTAAGCAAAATAATTGCAAGAAATAATGCAAGGCCAACTCCAATAGTGATTGTTATCCCCAGAATGTTCCCTCTGCGAAAGCTACTGTTGGAACCCGATGGAATTCTAGGCTTCAGCATGCTGGTAACGACATTACAAGGAGAAACTACTCCTCCACATAGTCCAGGATTACCCTCAAAGCTTGAACTAGGAAAACTAGAGAACTGCCCTCCAGTTGGAATTTGCCCCTTCAAGTGATTATTAGCCACGCTAAACTTTGACAAGAATGTGAGCTTCTCAAATGATGGAGGAATTGACCCACGAAGTTCATTGGATGACAAATCTAAAATTTCCAAGTTCTCCATTTCTGAAATGGAGTCAGGTATGGTCCCAGATATATCATTCCGGCTCAAATCTAAAACATGGAGCTGCTTCAAATTTCCAATTTCAGGCAAAATTGTCCCATTTATTCTGTTGTTGCCCAAATATAACGAGGGAGGAAAACTTGAGGGTTGGTTGTACTTCAAACCATTTGCACTCCGGTTTCTCTTTACATATAGTGGAATGAGAGCAGAAGTATTGGAATTATTGCAGTGCACAGAAATGAGGCTCTTTAGCTCTGTCAAACTTTCTGGAATCTCTCCAGTGAGAGAGTTATTTGAAAAGTCCAAGTAAAACAAATTCTCCATCTGACCAATCCAAGTAGGGATACTGCCATCCAAATGATTCCATGACAAATCAAGAACTTGTAACTTCCTGCAACGTAGCAGCCAATCTGGTATTTGACCTTTGAGAGCACAATTTCCAAGTGCCAATACCATTAAACTATCAAACCCACCAACATTTCTGGGAATTTCCTCTCCAATAAAATTCTTTGTGAGGATAAGAGTGGTAAGGTTTTTGCACTGCTGCAATGCAGATAATGCCCCGGATAGGTCCACAAAACTATTGTTTGACAAAGTGAGAACCAAAAGGGACGTGAGCTTTGCAAAACTCTGAGGGATCTGGCCAGTTAACTCATTCTTAGCAAGGCTCAGAATTTTCAATTCATGACAATCAGATAGGGAATTTGGAAGTGGTCCAGATAAATGGTTAGTGGCAAGATCAAGAGTACTAAGGATAGGCATTGCAGTGAAATTAAGACTAATTGGACCAGATAGAGAATTGTTCCTTAGATCAAGTACACTAAGCTTTGAGCATAATTCCAGTGTTGAAGGCAGTGGACCAGATAACTTATTTGAATGTGCAACAAGTTGTTCTAGTTGTGTAAGATTACTAAACACACTAGGAATATAGCCCGAAAACCGATTTCCACAAATAACCAAGGTTGTAAGGCTAGAAAGCTTACTCAATTGTTTACTTAGTTGGCCAGAGAAATTGTTGTTGGAGATTGACAATTGCTGCAGAGCTGACATTGAATATAAAGAATCTGGTAGGGAGCCAGAAAGTGAATTGAAGTCCAAATGCAATTGCTGGAGAGATTTGCTGCAATTGTCTAAACCTTCAAGGTTGCCCACAAGATGATTCATTGATAAATCAAGAATCTTAATCCCTCTAGAGGAACCGCAAATTTGTGAAGGGAATTTGCCAGTGAATGAATTGTTACTTATATTGAACACAACAAGATTTGGAAATCCCCCAAATTCAGATAAATCCTCTTTGAAAAGGTTACTTGAAATATTCAGATACTGAATAGACAATAACCCGGAAATCACCCTTGAAAACCGTCCTGATAGCATGTTATGGCTCAAATCAAGAACTTCGAGCTGCTTCAGCCTAGATAACTCCATAGGCAATCCACCTTGCAAATCATTGCAGGAAAGATCAAGTGATTTCAGCTGATCTAAACGGCCCAAAGACCACGAAATGATTCCTTTAAGACCCTTTTTTGGCAAAATTAGCTTAATTACTCTGCTATTAGTAGAACCATTGCCACTATTTCCGCACAAAACGCCATTCCATTGACAGCAATTCGCCTTGTTGGACCAATCTGTAATAATTGACCCATTTGAGAGATTTTCAGCAAATTGCTTCAACGCCAAAAGGTCACCAGGATCACAAGATTGAGATGAGGTTTTGAGACCCAAAGATGAACAAAGAAAGAAAATAAAGAATGCCCATCTGAGGAAAGTCATTGAAAAAATGCCCAACACCATCATCATTACTGAAACTAAAGCTTAGCCCCAGCACAAATCAAGCCAAACCTCCAAAATGAAGCTGCTGTATTTTTTGGGTAGGCAACAATTTTCAAAAGGAAATCCAAATTAAAAAACTTGCTAACCAACATCCCAAAGGAGCTCTAGAAAGAAACGCAAATTGCAAACGAAAGCAACAGAAAGGGAGAAGAACACCAATCTCCACCAGAAATCAAATCTCAAGAACAATAATTAAGAGATTCATAGACCCAAATAAATAAGTGGTAACCCATTTACAAAAAAGTGAGAAACTTGAAGCAGAAAGCAGCGCGGAGAATCAGAAGAAAAAAGAATAAGAACCAACTAGCAACTTGAAAGTGAAGCATTTATATAAACAAAATAAATAAATTAGTGAAGCCAGTAAAGTATACACACTAAATCTCTCGTCCCCACCTGAAACCAAAACCCTTGACAAAAATGAACAACCCCCATAAACCCTATAATGTTGTAAAACTAAACCCACTGACTTCCTTGTAGAGAGAGAAAGAGAGAGCAGGAAAGTCGCCCAATAGAAGAAACTTCATACACGCATCCCAAAGCACCTACCTACAAAACAACAAAAAGCGACAGTTAAGTTAAGCAATTAAGCAACAATTTACTTAAAAACTTCAACCAGATCCCAAGACCAAAGTTTAATTAGACCAAAGATTTATTTTATAGCTTACAAATAGCTCTACTACAATCTTTTCAAAAAAAAAAATAACTCTACTACAAGAACCAGAAGAGTTGAAATATACTATTGAAGAAAGAAACAAAGTTTACCGGTAATGGGAGTCATGAACTCAGCAAAAGCTCCAATCAGCATTAAAAACATCACTTGTAAGCCAAGTTAAAGCCCCCCTGTAAACCCAACACCTACAGTGGGCACTTTTCCACAAATGGGCTCAAATGCATTTAATTTATAAAGATTTATAAATAAAAAAATAATAATAAAGAGTAAAGGAATTGATGGCAAAATCTAAATTGAAGAAAAAGATTTTCAAAGGGCAGAGATAGAGAGAAAATAGAGACAAGAGGGCTGTGTAAAAGGAAAGATCTCACTTCTCACTCTTTGATAAAAGAAACCATTGTTTATTGGATAAAGAAAACAAAATAAAAATATTGAATTTGAAATGAAGACAGAAGAGCTAACTTTTTTGGACATATATTACTTACTTTTGGGTTTTTGCTGGTTCATACATACAGAGATTTGATGAAGTCTGCACTGCTATTTCTGATTGTCAATACCTACATTTGTCTTTTTCTTTAGAAAAACAAATATTATTTTGGTGGGGAAGGTTTTTGATTTTTTTGCTTATTTTCAATTTTCATCAGGTTGGCCAAAATTCGCTAAGTCCTAATACTCTCTCACACACCTTCCAAATATGCGCGTAGCATGCACTGCAACGGTATCCAATGGTATGAAATTTTCAAATCCTTTCAATTTTAAAAAATTAAAAAAATCTAGACAAAAAAAAACGTTAAATAGTAATTTTAAAAGCTAATTTAAATTGCAACAGAATATTTTAAAAGCTAATGTTTTAGTAATATTAAATTTTAAAATTAAATTATTAAAAATATAGTTTCTTTATATAATATTTAATGATGATGTGTGGATTATGACATAATTAATGCCTTTGTTTAATCATATAATGTTAATTATAATTCAATTAATAGAAATTTTTATTTTGAATTACGATACTTTTATTATATAGATTAAATTAAATATGTCAATCCAAATCATCTAATATGCTTTAATAATATATATAGATAGACTCATTATACACATGCACGTGTTGTATTATAAGTATAACTTTTTATAATTTAGATTTTATAATTAATTTGGACACGTTAATTTTATATCAGTTCAATTGGAATATCTAAAATTATTAATCATATTATAATAAATTAATTTTATTTTATTTAGATTAAATGATTTACCCAATAATTTTTTTGAAAAAAAGTAAGCTTATTATCTCCCTAGAAAAAAAAATTTTTTGGACTCCTAAACTTAAAAGTTTTTTTTTTAAGTTTTTTTTTTTTTCAAAGGAGTCAAAAAATAAAAGTTAAAAACAAAGAAAGAAAGAGAGAGAAGGATCAAAGCAATATTTGGGAGTGCTAAGACGCGCTCTAAAGGCGCTTGGAGACAAAAAATAAAAAAAAAAGGGACAGTGAAGGGAAGTCAAAGTGAGATAGATAGTCAGAAAGATACACTTCTATTATGGAATTGGATTAAGAGTATTAACACTATGTTTGGGGAGAGGGAGATATAACATAATTTTTTTTTTATTATTATATATAAATAGTAACTTTTCACCCATTATTTTTTATTTTCTCTTTATTTTGGGAGAAAAATTATAAAAGGTAAAATAAATTTATTTTACACCTTTATTATTTTTATCCAAACCAAATAAGATAATTTGAAAATTCCAACGTATTTTCACCTCCAATTTTACATTCTCTTATATTTTACATTCATCCAAACAAAGGCTAATACTTCGTTTGGAAAAAGAGAAAGTAAAATAAGGAGTGGAACTAAAATAAAGGGTGTCAGATTTTACTATTTATTTTCCTCCTAAAATTTTACACTCTCCTCGATATTCTATCTCAAATTAAACAAGAGATTTTGATCCCAAGAGATTTAAAAAAAAAAAATTTAAAACCCATCCAAACAAAGGCCAAGACTCGATGACGTGAGAATTGACCGGTTGTAGCCGGTTGGGTGAGCGGCTGTGGGCGGACGTCACGGGACACTGCCTGGATTCTATGAACACAGGGTCATGAAAAGATTTTGCTGTGCAACTGGCTTGTCGGGTCAACTACTCAAATCTGTTTCCACGTGAATCTACCAAACCCACTCCTTATTGCCTTTTCGCTTTCCTCTCATTTACGGGAGACATTTTTTATTCTAATTTATTATACATATAAAAATTATAAATCAAAAAATACTTATTTTTTATGTATGAATTTTTTAAAAAATAAACAAATTCAATAATTATTAATATTTAAAAAAATAAAATAAAGAACTCACGTTAAATATTAATTTGAAAAAAAAAATTCTGTAATATAATCTAAATATTAGATACAATAGTTGAAGTTAAAAATATAATCTAAATAATATAATCTAAGAGTTGAAGTTAAAAAAAAATTCAAATAAAATTTTCAGATACAATGGTTTTTAGATAGCTAATAACTATTCTCTATCTCTCAAAATATAAGCTGTTTTATATATTGAAGTTAAAAAAAAAAAAATTTCAAATAAATTTTCAGATACAATGAGTTTTAGATAGCAATAACTATTCTCTATCTCTCAAAATATAAGCTTGTTTTAAATATATATATATATATATATATATTATATATTTTTTTTTTTTTTTTTAATTTTTTAATTTTACCCTTATTTATATTATATTCTTTCCTCATAAAAAGATGGTCTATCTTTCCTTTTTGGTTTATCTCAAAATATAGTCTACTTTCCTTTTTTTGCATTATCTTAAATTGTTTATCATACTCTTATTAAATTTTATTTTATTTTCAATAATCCTCATTATTCTTACTTATTATTACAATATAATAATTACTTATGTGTTATTTAAAATGGGCATAATAAAAAAGTTATAAGAATAAAATTGTCCTGTAACTATATTTTTTTATCTGTATAAAAATAAAAAGTGGACTATCTTTTTCGGACGAATGGAGTATATAATATGATAATATGATAAAAGTAATAATGTGAGATAAATGATAATTTAATCAAATTACCTAAGAAAATTTTCTTTGTGAAATTAATTGTTTTTTTTAATATTTGTGAAAAATTTTATAGGACTTGTATTTTTAGGTTGAAGTAAGGTAACATCTATATTGATTTCTGAATTTAATAAAAAAATTATAATTGTTAAAAGTCAAAAAGCTATCAACTACTTCCAACCAACTAAATTTTATGTCGTCTTAGCCAGCTTATAGAGTCAATAGCATCAAGAAATTAATGTTGGTTTAGATTTAGATTAGCATGTATGTTGTTTCCTTTTTCATTTTTTTATTGATCAATTGTAAAATAAAATTATATTACTCAATATAGTATTTTACTTAATATTATTTTTACAAATATTCTCAAACACACATGACCATCATGAAATAGATTTTTGCTTGTGATTTTGTAATTTCCAAAATACAACATTTTACCATTAAACAGTAACCAATAACTAAATAGAATTATTTCAAACATAATAATTTTTTGTTTTAAATTTATAATCCTTCATCTGTCTATTTTTTATCTGCCAAATATATGATTTAATTGTACAAATCAGATATGATTTGATTGGTTATTTCACCAATTTGAATAGTGAAAGATCTCGTATTTAAATCATCTCAATCACAAGACTTTTCACTAATTTAGTGAATTTTGTGTATAAATGGACAAAAAAGTACTTATTCAGCATTAATTGAAAGTTAAATTAACTCTTAATCTATTGAGATTTGGATTCTTCATCCTTACCAATTTAATTGATAGATTACCACTTCTTAATCAAATTTAATGATTCAATAAACTAAATATACAAAAATTATACTTTTTTTTAGCTATTATTAGATCTTTTAGATTTAATGCTAAAAATTAAAAATATGACAAAATTAAATTTCATTTATTGTTTCCAAAACTGCATGTGAAAAATATTGTTAACAAAGTATATTCTATCTTGACCATAAAAAGAGATAATTAAAACTTAAATTTCTTTGGGAGAGATAAGATTGATGTTAAAAACAAATATTTTTTTTTATTTATTAAAAATTATAAGACTGGAATAACATTGTAACCTATAACTTTTCATTTAAATTTATTACAAATAATCAATATGGACAAGATTCGAATTAAAAAAATCAACTCTTAATTATTTGCATTTATCATAAACACATAATATATATATGACTTATTAAGATTTTTTTTTATATATAATCAAGAGGTTTAATCCACTCGGGCCGGAAAGCGTAAAGATTTTTTGCCCTCTCAACAAAGTGCATTTTTTAGAGATCAAATTTATATTTTTATGCTTACGGAATTAAAATCGCTTATCACTCCAGTTAAGAAAATGTGATTTCTGAAAATTGAATTTGTGTTATCGTAATTACGGATCAAGTAGGTTTACCGCTGCAGTCAATATATTGTCAAGAAGCTTTTAGTGCCCATATGTCAAGAAGAAGACACATGAATTGCATGTGAAATGAACAAAAACACCTTTTTGACAAATGGTAAATAGTGACAATGTAGACTAATGCCAATATCCATGGAGACTAGAGACTTAGAAGTTAAAAGCACGTGAGTTCCTCCTCTTTGGACACCATTATAAAATTACGACCACACACTAAATAAGTATACACTTGACAATTAATATTGACTTTTGTATTTGCACATGTGTATATATACACATTTTAATTATTTAATTTCTATATTTAGTATTGATTATGACATAATTTTCAATTATAATCACTTTATTTCCTTAAATTTTGGTAAGAATTAATGATTAAAATTAACACTTTAATATATTAGTGTTTATGTTATAATGTAAACTAACTATAGTGAAAAGAATAAATTATGCACCTCTTCTGCTCTTTTTGAAAACTCTCATACTGTAAATAAAACAATAACTATAAATCAATTATTTTTAAACATATTATGGTGTATTGTAAATAATATTTTTTATTTTTAAAATATATTATATTTCATTCAATAAACTATTGCAAATAAAAGTAATAAATTAAAAATTATATTTAATTTTTGTATTGTAATACCCCGAATTTTTATTTTTAAAACTTTAGAATTTTTATTAAATCAAAAATCTAGATTTATGTTGATATGGGCTATTAAGATCGAGTAATTCTAATTGAGCCCAATAAATCAAAAAATCTAGATTACTGTTGATATGGGCTATTAACGCATCGAGTTAATTCTAATTGAGCCAAAAGGGTTTACGAATGGGCTCAAGCCCAAAAAACATATATTTAGAATTTTCGTTTGGGTAATACTAAATTTCGATGAAAATAAATGGACACTAATTGTTAATCGATTAAATGGTTATAATGAATTTTAAATAAATGACGATAGAAATTGAACTAAAGTGTGTATGTGTAATATCCCA